ATATATATATATATATATCTTGATTGATTGTTTGATATATTGATAGATTGATTAATTGATTGATTGACAGATCGATTGATTGACTTGAAGACTGATTTAATGCAGAACTGTTCTGATCATCTTCTCTGTCTAACCATCATGGCCGACACAACCCTGTGGTTAGTGCCTACACGCCTTGTACGATCTTACGCACATAATACTGAATCTAGACATTCTTAAGCTGGGTTTACACTACCGACGGGGGGGGGATCGCGAAAAGGACTCGGGATGTCGAATTTGGGGGGTCACTGGTCAAAGGTCAAGATGTGTCAATGTAGGGGGAATATTTCCCCCTTAACTTAAGGTATAGGAGGGAATACGGAATTGCAGCACAAATCTGTACTGCCAGTAGGTATAGCAAAGCCTATCATAGACCTCCCCCAAGAAATTCTTTTTAAATTCGTGCATTCTGAGAGCATCTGAGCAGTAATTTTGATGTCTAGAATGCAAAAATTTATCAGATCCGGTCCCCCGGACCCATCTTTGCCCATTTCTAGGTTTTTATAACGAATTTATATATATCTAAATATTTATCAGTAAAACTAGCCCTAAAAAAATTGGGATGAAATTTTTTAGGGCACTGAAATTAAAGGGGGTCCAGGCCCCCCCGGACACCCTATCCTATCCTATCCTACCCTACCCTATCCGGGACCCTAGATCCGCCCCTGAGCTCACTGTGTCCACTGCCTGGATGCTGGCCATGTGTGTAGGCGATCAGACCGAATAAATTTACTCTTGATGGTTCGATAATCGCAAGACAGGGAAGATGATTACAGGGCCAAACAAGCAAACGTCTTTCGTTCGTCGTCGGAAAACGCAGTTGGAAATTTATTTGCTATCGAGGATATGACACCGGTGATTGGGCAATTTTATATATTTATGCTAATAAAATGGTGCTTTGTAGTAGCGGAAACAGATATGATAACGTTTTTTTTCTTCGAGAAGTCGAGGCAAGCATTCGCGGTGACGATAAACACGATACAGAAAAAAAAACTATTAATAGAGAAATGTTCGATGTCTGAACGTCGCTTTGTTCGTTGCATGATGGAATTCAATCACATTCGGTGTCTAGGAAGCATGGGCTGGCACGTACACGTACGGCAGCGATACAGACTAACAAATACTGTATTCGTAAGTCTGCGATAGTATGGAAGAGTAGTGACATCACCAGGAAAACCCTCAGCGCGCGTGCTGATGCGACAGTGCACAGTGGCGCCACCTATGGTAGTACTGCGAACGAGGCTAGTTGTACTGTCTACAAATTAAAACGGCAATACAAAATCGTCGTGAAACTGAGAAAAATTCGGCGGTATCACACGAAAATACGCTAGTGCCATGTACAAATGCAGTGGTGTCACATACAAATACAGTAAGTTGCATACAAGTAGAGTGATGTCACATACAAATATAGTAACGTCACATACAAATACAGTAATTTCAAATACAAATACAGTGACGTCACAGAAATATTGTAGATCTGTTCACACATCCATCGTGGAGTTACGAGTAAAAACTTGTGCCACACTAAAAATACCCTGGTGTCACATGAAACTGTTTGTGTGAAAAAAAAATCCACAGCTAGCACGTACAAGTACAAAGTTGTCCGCCGTGAAGACAATTGACAATTTCAATCGGATGATGTCACGTTCGATATCTGTGCTGCGACATCGTAAAAATAATCTTCTTCTGGTGCACCTATATGACATATGAAATCAACCTCATTTACAGGTGTGCATGCATGCTCACACACCAATCATCGTCACCCAGTGTTATATACAGTCAATATGTAAAACCAACGATATTTACAAGCAATTTCACAACCATATATACAGCCATGTATAGGTATATTATATATATATATATATAGATTATAGATTATAGAATATATCACGTCAGCTCGTATCCACCCGGCAACGACCACCTTCACCTGCGGTCACCTGTACCCACCCTGAGGTCACCCGCGTCACCTCTATCACCCGTTCAACCCGCGTCCACCGTATCCACCGGTCACCCCGTCACCTATATCCACCGGTCACCCGGTCAACCTGTATCCACCTCGGTCACCGCCGTCAACCTTTATTCACCCGTGTCACCCGGGTCACCTGTATTCCACGGCTCACCCGGTCAACCTATAATCCACCTCGGGTCCACCCTTATCCACCTGGTCACCCGCCCGTCCACCTAAAATTCCACCCCCATCAAACTGTCTATCCACCCTCACTGTATCCACCTGCGTCACCCGGTCACCCTGTAGTCCACCCGCGTCACCGTCCACCTATATCACCCGGTGTCACCCGGTCACCTGTTATCCACCCTGCGTCACCCGGTCACTGTATCCACCGCGTTTCACACCGCCGTCAGCTGATTCTCCACCCGGTCACCTGATAATCCCCCCCCCATTCAAATCCGCGTCACCGCGTCACCTGTATCCACTTGCCGTATGACTTGGATATGATCACGTTGGATTATCACACATACATCGTAGCGGTTCAGACTTGTCATACACGCTAGCGGTCAGGACTGTCATACACGTGCGGTCAGACTGCTCATACACGTACGCGTCAGACTGTCATTACACCGCTAGCGGTCAGCACTGTCATTACACGAGCCGGTCACACTTCATACACGTAGCGGTCAGACTGCTCATACACGTAGCTGGCTCAGACTGGTCATACACGTAGGCGGTCAGTGACTGTCCGTACACGTAGCGTCAACTTGTCCATAACACGTAGCGCGTTTCAGACTTCTCATTACACGTAGCGGCTCAGACTGTCATACACGTAGCGGTCAGACTGTCATACACGTAGCGGTCAGACTGTCATACACGTAGCGGTCAGACTGTCATACACGTAGCGGTCAGACTGTCGTACACGTAGCGGGCAGACTGTCATACACTGTCAGTAGTCAACCGGCAGGTGGCAGCAGGGGCACGAACGCGCGGCTCTGTGCGTCGTATCGCTTGCAAGCAGCATCCGTCACGTACCAGCTATACAGATCCTCGTACTTCTTCCTCCCTCCTCCTTCTCCTCCNACCTGTATCCACCCGGTCACCCGGTCACCTGTATCCACCCGGTCACCCGGTCACCTGTATCCACCCGGTCACCCGGTCAGCTGTATCCACCTGGTCACCCGGTCACCTGTATCCACCCGGTCACCCGGTCACCTGTATCCACCCGGTCAGCTGTATCCACCCGGTCAGTCTCTCCGGCTATCTCTGTGGTCAGTCTGTGTCGGACATCATGGCCGGGTCGGTGGTTTATTCTGCTTGTGTCAGCCGCCTCTACCCGGTCAGTACAGTGGACATTGCATACAAGGGGCATCACGTAGCGGTCAGACTGTCGTACACGTAGCGGTCAGACTGTCATACACGTAGCGGTCAGACTGTCATACACGTAGCGGTCAGACTGTCATACACGTAGCGGTCAAACTGTCATACACGTAGCGGTCAAACTGTCATACACGTAGCGGTCAGACTGTCATACACGTAGCGGGTAGACTGTCATACACGTAGCTGTCAGACTGTCATACACGTAGCGGTCAGACTGTCATACACGTAGCGGTCAGACTGTCATACACGTAGCGGTCAGACTGTCATACACGTAGCGGTCAGACTGNTCCCGCCTCGCTCCTCCCTTCCTCCTTCCCTCCTCCTCCTCCTCCTTCCCTCCCCTTCCCCTCCTCCTTCCCTCCTTCCCTCCTCCTCCTCTTCCTCCTCCTCCTCCTCCTCCTTCCCCTCCCCCTCCTCCTCCCCCTCCTCCTCCCCTTCCTCCTCCTCCTCCTTGCTCCTCCTCATTCAGTTTCTCGCACAGCTCGCAGAAGCCTGACGACCAGACGAAGCGGTAGCGTCCCTTCCACGCGAAGTACTCCGCGTACGCCGCGTCGTCCGCGGCGACGCGCAGCAGCAGCGCCGCCAGGTCGCGCGGGTCCGGGTACCGCGTCGCGTCGACGTACGACCCCGGCGGCGCCACGCGCGCGTAGTCGGCGCCGCCCATCACGACGGGCACGACTCGCCAGCGCAGCGCCTCGAACAGCTTCTCGCTCGCGTAGTCGCGGCAGATCGCGTTCTCGAAGACGAGCAGGAAGCGGTGGCGGCGCTCGACGACGCCGCGGCACGCGCCCGCGCCGTCGCCGCGCGCGCACTGCCGCGCGCCGCAGCCGCCGTACACGGCCACCGCCAGGTGGCGCTGCAGCTCGGCGACGTAGGCGCCGCGGCCGCTGCTCGCCGCGCAGTTGCTCACGATCCACGCAACGATGGCGTCCTTCGACGACGACGTGGACGTCAGCTTTGCGGGCCGTCGCCGACCTGCCGCCGCGCGGCGCCCCCTGGCAGCGCTTCGTCTTCTTCCTCGTCGAGCCTCCGCCGTACGCCGTCGCGCCGCCGCCGGTCTGGTGGCAGCGACTGTGGCGGCGCCCGGCGGCGCCCGCCGACCTGCGCGCGTTCGACGGTCGCTTCGACCTGACGATGACCTACAGGCGGGACTCGGACGTAGTGCGCGACTACGGGCGATACGTGCCGATCCCCGGCCGCACGGTGGCGCCTCCCGGCGGCCGCAGGCGCGTGTCGCGCGCGTGGACGACGACGGCGTCGCTGCGAGCGAACGCACCGCGATCGGTGGTCGCCTCGCACCGCTGAGCGGGACCCGGCGGACAGCCGTCGGCGAAGGGGGCGCCACCGACGCCCCAGCCGTAGTCGCGGAGACCGTAGAAGGGCGTCCAGAAGAGAATCAGCTTGCGACGCTGCGCGGAGTCAGCGCCACCTGGCGAGAGAGAGAGAGAGAGGCGATCGTCAGTGATGGGATGGATCAGCATTGGCTATTGGATTTTGGCTTTGGGATTTCTAGCTTTGGCTATAATATTATCAAGAATAGTATAATAAATAACACAATATATCATAATATATCACAATATATATATATATTACAATATATATATATATATAATATATATATATATAATACATATATATATATATAT